TCTATTCTATTCTATTCTATTCTATTCTATTCTATTCTATTCTATTCTATTCTAGATTTCGAGATTTAATCGAGATAATTAAGGGACACTTTCTCTGGTCTTTCTCTGAGTTTGCATGCTGAGAACAGGTAAGGGGGGGGCAGTTCTTCTCCCTCTTCGTGAATTTCCCCGGAGGTCCTGGGTTTGACCCCAAACGCAAAAGCAGAACGGCGGTCGTCCTAAGACCCCCACGATTAAAAAAAAACCCCACTAACCTAGCTCTTTGCTCTCCACACACAGGGCGTGCAAAGGGAATCTTCGCGGTTTGAGTATTTTAACGTGTGGACGGATCGATAGCGAAAGAGGTTCGGTTTAGGAGCTTGGACTGCTCGCCTGCCCTTCCGATGTAGAAATCGACTGGGGGGTGGGGGGCAGCCTGAGGACGGAAGCTGAGACCCTCTCCCCAACCGATCTACCTTCAGTCCCACCCAGGATCACGCACTCCTGTGAGTGGGGGGGGGGAGGGCACACGACTCAGCAGTGAAGCAGTTAAGGCACGCCAGCCGTAGCTTCAGCCCCGGAGCCAGCCTGGTGGAGGGATGCTCCTCCGTTCTCCTGCCCCCCCACCAGGCAAAAGTCACGTTGCTTTGGGCAGGAGAGGCGTCGTGAAGCGATCCCAGGTTTAGCGTCCTCTTTCTCCTCGGTGGAAGGATGGGGAGAGCCCTGCCTGGAACAAGGCACCAGCCCGGGGCAGGGTGTAGAGAGCGCCGAGCGGGACTTTCCAGCGACAGCTCCTGAATAATTGAGAGCCAGCAGTCACTTTGCTGCTCCCCAGGCAGCCCAATTGGCACAGCAGCTCCGGTTTACCAGCTCCTGATCTGGACCGGGATGAGAGGAGGTCGCTCTCCAGCTGAAGAGCTGCACCGAGGCTTAGCAGGCAAAGAGAAGAGGAGGGTGACACAGCTCTGAAGGCAGCCCGGCTGGATTCCCCACCTCTGCTCCAAACGTTGTGCCCATTGCCTCTCCTTGTCAGGTTGTAGCAACAACAGCGGAGGGCACTCCCCGTCACCAGCCCACCATGGCCTTGATCGTGCGCTTGAAGAGGGTCACCAACCTGAGAGGCAAAGCGGACAGGATAGCCAAGGTGGCGTTTAGAGGTACATGCCCTCAGTTGTGTAGCCTGCAGCAGAGGCACTCGGTGCGATGCTGCAAGATAGGCGCCTGGCTTGTGTGCAGGTCTGCATGTCCCAGGGAAGGGAAAGTTCTCTGCAGAGGAGCCTCAACTCTGCAGGACAAGGGCATGACTCTGGGGAAGGATACTCTCACTCCCCTAGCACTTGGGGGGCTTCATTCTGGAAAAGAATAGCCCATGCCCCCAACATTTTACCTGGGCTAAAGCTTCTTGGAGTTGTGGTTGTTGTTGTTTAACTGGCAGGTTCTTGAGTCGGCAAGAGCTCTGGTGATGCAGCTCCTTCAATTTGGAGCCCCATTATGTTTGAAGGACCCTCAGAGGTTCCAAACCAAAGTTTCCCTCTGCAATTAAGATCTGGGGGCTGAGCTACTATGTTACTGTTGACTGTGGTTTATTTTTCTTATTCAAGGAACGGTTGTGTTGGCCATTACACAAGTAGAAAATGTTGAGCTTTTGAATGAGGACAGGCGGGAAGAAGAAAAGTGCCAATAAGAACTTCAAAGCCATTGAAATGCCACCTGCTTTGAAAATGTTTAACATGTGGCACACATCTGCATTTCTGCAATGTTTCAGACATGGCAAGGTTTTTTACGATGAGCTACTCTTTCTGGTGGAGATAGCAAGTGGGTTGTGATAGGGGTAACAAGCAAGCCGCCTCCTAAGCAGCGTTTTGTCAGATCCTGACACCAGAATTTGCAGAAGCCCTTCCCCATTTTGAGCAGGGGGCTTTCTCAGCTTTTGCTGGAACCCCTGGCATACAAAGTACTGCTCTGAGTGTATGCACACAGCTTTGAAAGATACACGTTGCCACTGTTCTCTACTGAGTGCTCGCTACATATAACAATCCACATTGTTTTTATACAGCACTGCAGAAAGTTAGTGCTCGCACTAATGCTGATTTGCAAAATGTAAACCTTTTGATCTTAACTTCATGTTGTCTAGGGGAGTGAAATTAGAATGATTGGCTTGACTAAAGTTATGGTATACTTCTTTTCCATAAATCATTTATAGCACATTCTAGCATCACCTAATCATCACTGAGACAATATAACACCTGCCTGTACCCCTCTCACATTGGCAGAATAAGGGTTGAATTATACTGAAGGACAGTATAAATGATTACTGAAGAAATGGTTTGTGATTTGTAGTTGATATAAAAACTGAGCTGACTTTTTTTCAATTGATATGTTCTATTAGTATCACAGCTATTGCATGTTACTTCCATAGAGTGTGCATTTAATATATAATATATAATGATGACATATGAACAAAGAATGTCATAAGTATTATTTTTGAGGTATCAAATAAGATTGTTCTTCCCACACGGAAAACATCCTGGACTTAAAAGTGAAAGGTTTTGCATTTTCAAGTGTTTGTTTTCTGAAATTCAAAACCAGCCATAAGATAAATTAATGCATTGACTTCAACTAAAAAGAAAAATCAACTTGATTTTCTGAAGATGCCTAAACTATCTTTGGATCACTAGAGTTAAAGACATCCAGCCCTCATTTCTTGATAGTTGCCTAACTTCTACACCAGCTTATCCTTGTGTCCAAGAGTTTGAGAATATAAATATATTTATCTGTAAACTATCTTGGATCAGGTCAAGCAGCAGATTAGAATACATGGAAAGCCTAGCAAAATTTCCAAACAGAGCTAAGCATGCATCTTTGAATAGAAATATTATGCCAGACACACAACCTGGTGGCTTTCTGATAAATTGAATTAGACACGTTGGATTAGATCCTGAGTGTATTTGACTGGAACACTCCTACTTAAATTGTCTCCTTAGACCCCACATCAGTTCCAATCAACACATCTACTGCCCTAATTCATTACAGGGACTAACCTATCGCCCCCTTCCAGCTTTGAGCAGAAATAACACTTGGGAGAAAGAAAAGAATTAGAACAAAAACAATTGATGAGGAAAAAATAAAGCTAATGCAACCATATGGGTTTAAGGAGTATTTCTTTACACGTATTTTAATCTTAACTGCTAAAAATTACACTTTTTAAAAAGGATTTTTGAAATAGATGGTTGGTGTGATGGGAATGTTTTTATATCTCCTATTTCAAAAACATGGTGCATGCGTTGTGTGTATATATGAGTGGTTCTTAAATGCCCATTATCAATTCTGGGCACAGGCTTCAAGGACATTTTTTTAAAATAAAAGACAAAAGCAGCTGCAACTTACCAGTACATAGCTCCCTACATCTAAGGTCAAGCCAACTTGCAAACAACATCTGTACTGTACAATCAGTGGCACACGTGTTACATATGAGGACAGGGCAAAGTTCCAGTTCTAATACTTAGACAGAACTTTTATATTATTGATGCTGATTCAAAATAAAAAAAATTCCCAGTTCCTTTTTTTAAGGATCTTGAATTTTGGAATCCAGCCTCCCCCACTTAGGCTACTCTTGTCAGATTTTACTGCAGCCCAATCTGAAGCTCTCCCACAAATGGTTGTCTTAACTTACTACCATGAAATTAAGTGGATCACTCCTCATCCTTGGAAAAAATCCAAAGGTTTGAGGCATATTGCACCATTCAGAAAATGCAGCTGCTCCCTGAGGTTGAGAGATGACAGAAATAATCTTGCGCCATGAAATCCCTTTTTTTGGGTCTTGAAATGCTGTTCTCTGCTTCTCTGTTATCAAATATCAGGGAGGGCATTCTGGATATGTTCAGAGGTTCTCCCTTTTTTATGATCACATTTGCCAGGGCAAGTGATACACAGAGAGTTCAGAGCTAGATCAAGAAAATCCTACAGCAATCTATCCTGAATAGGCAGTTTAATCTGGGCAGTTGTGCTGGGGAATAAAGGAAAAGTGTCTTGTCTTGTCCATGTAATATCATATCATCTGGTTAAATAAATAAGAAACTTGCCAGGATTTTCCAAGTTTTGGGACTAATCAACCTACCGTGGAAGATTCTGCCAATGGCAACAGAAGTTGGTAACAGCAATAAGAAATCAAAAGCCGTCAAACCATGACATGTGGTGTCTCTGGCAAAGAACCATTTACCAAAGTTATTATCATCTAGAGCCTTGATGCGGAAACTATGACACGCATGCTGGAAATGGTACACAGAGCCATGTCTCCAGGCACGCCAGCCATCATCCATTACTCTTCTGGGTTCTGGCACACATGTGTGCCAGAA